AGGGATTAGGAGGATCCGAGTTTGAAGCCAGTCTGTTGTAGTGAGGCCCCGTCAGGACACACCATAGCCACAGGGGAAGCTTCAAGGTGACCTTGGTTGAAGGACGGGCATGGATCCGATTCAAAGAATGATTAAAGCAAAAAAAGGACTGGAGTTGTGGTTCAAGTAGCAGAGCACCTATCTAGCAAGTACAAGGAAGGCCCTAAGTTCAAACCCCCAGTACTGGCAAAAATGGGAGCATCCCTGTCATGGCAGACACACTGTGACCCAACCCAGCTGCCTCCTCCTCCAGCATCTCAGAGGGACTGCGTCCGTGGACTTGGGTGAGCTCAGTTGAGTGACGTGGCCACGGTGGCCAGGGGCAGCAGCGGTGATGGATGAGGCAGATCCTTCCTTCACTCGCTCCCTCCCTCCCTCACTAGCTCGCTCTGAGGGACATCCGTGACCTGTACCTACCTATGTGGAGTCTGAGCTGAGGAACTGGTGACTGTGAGCCAAACCAGCCCAAACCTGGAAGCAGCAGCCCTGTCACCCGATGCAGAAGGCTGGGGGCAGAGACCCCCAAGAGCTGGCCAGAGAGCCCAAGCCCCCGCCAGACCTGGCCACAGGCCCTCAAGACCTTGATCTGAGCACCCCAGGTTCTGAGAGCAGCTGCCTCCGCCTTTGTCCATTTCAGATGGTTTGTTCTGCACAACAGATACTGCTGTGCAAACTGTGGCACTCATTCCAGAACGAGATCGCTGAGGCTGGGACTTGCCCCAGGACAGCCAGAGTCCCGTAGACCGCCAGCTGGAAATGAACATGAGGACTCGATGTCTTATGTGCACTTACCTAACAATGTGCTGCTGGCTCTGGTCCTGGCACTCCTCCGGGAGCCCGGTTGCTGTCTCCTTTCACGCAGCTGACCTCACCACCCCATGGATCCTGTGGTTTGTGAAGCTTGTAGTCTGGAGCGTTGCTTTAACTCAGTGAATTCCACAGCATGGTGTCGGGCTGTGCGTGGCTCCCGTGTGCTTCTGCTCACATTGTTTTTTTTAAATCAGTAGATTTTTTTCTTCTGTCAGTCATGGGACTTGAACCCAGGCCTTGGGCACTGTGCCTGAGCTCCTTTGACTCAAGGCCAGTGCTCTACCACTATGAAACATAGTGCCACTTACAGTTTTCTGGTGGTTACTCAAGAGGTCTCACAGACTTTCTTGCCTGGGCTGGCTTTGAACAGCAATCCTCAGATTCAGCCTCCTGAGTAGCTAGGACGACAAGTGTGAGGCACCAGCGCCTGACATCATTAGATGTTTTTGTTGTACACATATTGGGCTTGGCTCACATTTTCGATTGGCTAACACGAGAGCTGCTTTTGTGTGGTTTGTGTCTCAAGACGCTTTAGGAACATATGTTGTTGCTTTCTTAACACTGAACCTGGTGCAGGCTGAGCTGTAACTGTGAAAGCCACTCATCTGACATCAACTTGTGAGGATGGTCTGGAGCATGCACAGCACTCGAGACAGCGCGTGTGCCTGCCTCACGCAGTGAACCCACCAGCAAAAAGCAGACACGCAGAACACGTGTGCAAAATGCCCAGAAGGTAGTGTGCTGACTGCACAGGAGTGCACACACGCAGGCAGTGTGTCCAGAACCCCTCGGCTGGGAGCACGTGGGCAGGGCTGGCAGCAAAGGCGCCGGAGCACAATGGGGTACAGATAAACCTTAGTGATCTGCAGTGACATCACCAGGACCACCACACTGCATCTGTAAGACTGGGTTTGAAGACCGAGCCCTCCCCTTTGGCTTCCTTTAACACCATTCTTTCAGGGACAATGTAGCATGGATCCTGTGGCGTTATTGATTCTTGGCACCCCGAACCCGAATGCACCCTGTATCTCTTCTCCATGAGCGGATACAGCAGCAGTGAGGCAGTTGTGTGTGTGTACACAATGACCCCACTGCCACCGAAGCCCTGACCATGGCCTGGCCACCTCTTCTCCATGCCCCCTGCACAGAGGTACTGGGCATAGCAGGTCACCATGCTGGCACAGTGCCCGAGTGAGTCCCAACTAGTCCTGTCTGTCCTCCCACAGGTGTGGCCTGCCTCGGCTGGTCTGCAGCCTGCCCCAGCCCAGGCCCAGGGTGTGGGCCTTCCCAGACCTCCCTTCCCATGCTGCCTGCCTGGGGCTCACAGCCAGGGAACCTTCCTCTCTAGGATGCAGCCCCTGGGGTCCCCTGAGTGGCTTCTGGTGTTCCCCACTTTCTCCTCATTCCTCCTGTGCAGCTTGGGCTGCTGTTTCTTCCTTCCGCCTGGCTTGGCTCCTTCCTCAGCTTCGACTGCTGATTTAACTGCACCTTGAAATCACCACCAGACACTGCCCTCCAACCTCAGCACGACCCAAAGCACCAATCCCTAAGGTCTCTTTTGGGGCTGGTTTAAAGACCATCTCCTTCATACCACAAAACATTTAAGTAAACCCAGGGCAGGGTGCACGTCCATCTGGTACTACTTGTAACAAGTCACACTCTTCTCACTGGAGGCAAATTCACTTCTTCAGCTGCACACATGTTGGTCATCTCCTAGCCATTCTTGTGGCCTGCAAGACAAGTGCCCAGTACACCACACACACACACACACACACACACACACTAGCCATTCTTGTGGCCTGCAAGCCAAGTGCCCAGTACACCACACACACA